TATATATATATATATATATTTATATTGTGGGAGGAAAAAGACAAGTAAACTACAAGTTCATCCCTACAAGCCTGTTTCGTGGTCGCCCACTCATCAGTCTTTCTGTTGTATTCTTTCAAAGTTACAAACCATCAAAAAGACGAAAACCGGTACGAGCCACGTTAAGTGCATTCATAACGCTTGAGCGGGGACTGAGACAGGGTTGTCCATTGTCCGCCCCGCTATACATCAGAACGGCAGAAATAATGGCCACACACATCCGCGCAAATCAAGATATTCACGGCCTCTTACCACCCGGCTCAAAGGAGGAAATTAAGCTCTCTCAATATGCGGATGACACCTCGCTCTTGCTCACAGACGAGGAATCCGTCCGACACGCTTCCCTCACATTGCAACTCTACGAAAAAGCCTCCGGCGACCGGATCAACAACTCTAAATGTAAAGGACTTTGGGCAGGCGCCCTAAAACGTCGCATCGATCAACCATTCGGCTTTGAATGGTACAATGTCTATAGACCCGACAAAATTCTCGGCCTCTATTTTGGCAATGTTGACTGTACTCAGCTTAACCTTACACCGCGCCTAAAGAAAATCACAGATACTATCAAAGCATGGTCCTCACGAAACCTCAACTTTGAAGGCAAAACCCTTGTGATAAACGGCCTGCTTCCCTCAGTGCGCTGGTACCAGGCCACCTCCCTTCCCATTCCGTCCTGGGCTATCCGCGATATCGAACAGGAGATATATCACTTTTTCTGGTCGAACAAAATGCACCTGGTTAAACGAGAGACACTGGCCACCCCACGCGATCAAGGAGGATTTAACGTCCACCGTTTAGGCCCCAAAATTACCGCTCTCCGCTTGTCCACTCTACGGCGCTATCTAGATCCCGACCAGGCGGCATGGAAGCATTTCATAACATATACCTGCGCACCGCAAACCAAAATCTTGGTGCCCTCGCACTCTCTACAACCCATCAATCCCAACACATCGACCGCTCTATCCCACAATTCCACCGCGAGCTCCTACTCGCCTGGAACAACCTACACCCTCACCTCACGACCCAAATAGCAAACAATCTCCCTACTGTCTTAGCCCAACCACTCTTCCTCAATCCACGTATACAATGCGCAGGGCGACCACTCTTTGTTTCCCCACTGGATTAAGAGTGGAGTTACGCAACTGAGCGATCTATGTTACGAAGTTATACCAGGATTCCTACCCATCCAGGCGCTCTACGATATGATCCCCGATTTCTCCCCGAGCCATCTCGCCCGCGAACTCAACATCTTACTACAGGCCCTCCCAGACGACTGGCGACGCCTTGTTGCCTCCGCTACAACTTCGCCTACCCCAGCCGAATTCACCATCTCTTCCTCAGCTACTCCACTTGCTAATATCCCCACCCGGAGTTTCTACAAAATACTTATGGCGTCTCAGCAGTCCACCATCCCCAGCCTACAATATTGGGAGCGCACCCTTAACCCCGCCCCTAAATTCACCTCCGCGTTTTGGAAATCACGTTACACTCCCCTGCTTCCCAATCATTTCGGCGATATCACGTGGAAAATCGTTGACAGGGTCCTCCCACACGCCCTGTCCCTCTTCCGAGTAGGCGTCTACCCCACGATGGACTGCCCGCACTGCAATGATACCGAAACGCTCGATCACCTTCTCCTCCATTGCCCCGCTCTTAAACCCTTCTGGGTGACCATACAAAGATACGTCACCGACATATCCAACGACATCATAACCCTGACACACCCCATAGCCCTTTTTGGTGTCCCATAAACGAAGGCTAATGCCCACTGGCGAAGCGAAATCAACCTAATTAATTTCATTCTAAACATAGCGCGCTACGCTATACATAAATCGGTAGCAGAACTCCGTTTAAACGATATTCACATCACACCACAGTCTATTTTTAATGCTGAGGTCAAACACTTTATTCAAAAAGATTTTCAAGTACAACGACACACAGGTCTCAGCTACTATTTCCCTCTGAAATGGTGCATTAACGATACTATTGTAAGCCTAGTAAATGAACGACTCCATTTTCACCTATAGTGACCTATTGGAATACGTAATTCTGGCTAGTATATGCCAACAACCAGGTTAATACAATGTAACGAGTCCCACCATATATACGCAGTAAGATCAAACCTTTCGTTATGTTATCACTAGTTAGCCTCAATAAATGTAACACTGCAATAAGTAGAAAACCTGTAATAGTTAAGAAATCTCAACCTTGTCTCCTTGTAAATAGAATAGCTTAGAAGCGGCTCACACTGAGCTGTTTTACTAGAAATAAAAAAATAGAAAATCACACCTGACTAGTAACAGGGGGACGTGGGTTCAAATCCCGCTTAGGGAAAATTTTCTTTTATATAGAAGGCCGAATATATATAACTAACTGCAGACAGTACTGTTTCGGCCTTCTGGGCCTCATCAGTGCAGTGCTAATGCTAGGATGGGGGAGAACCGAGACGGTCACCCCAAACGACCCAACCTTTGTGGTATCGTCTAAGCCATGCCAGAGTGCTCAAACTAGAGTAAACCAGCGAGCATGCGCAATTGCAACGGCAATGACTCATCCTAGATAGAGTGCTCAATTTGGACATGAAAGCAAAGCTTTGTATGCCAAAGAGCTATATCTAACTGCAGACAGTACTGTTTCGGCCTTCTGGGCCTCATCAGTGCAGTGCTAATGCTAGGATGGGGGAGAACCGAGACGGTCACCCCAAACGACCCAACCTTTGTGGTATCGTCTAAGCCATGCCAGAGTGCTCAAACTAGAGTAAACCAGCGAGCATGCGCAATTGCAACGGCAATGACTCATCCTAGATAGAGTGCTCAATTTGGACATGAAAGCAAAGCTTTGTATGCCAAAGAGCTATATCTAACTGCAGACAGTACTGTTTCGGCCTTCTGGGCCTCATCAGTGCAGTGCTAATGCTAGGATGGGGGAGAACCGAGACGGTCACCCCAAACGACCCAACCTTTGTGGTATCGTCTAAGCCATGCCAGAGTGCTCAAACTAGAGTAAACCAGCGAGCATGCGCAATTGCAACGGCAATGACTCATCCTAGATAGAGTGCTCAATTTGGACATGAAAGCAAAGCTTTGTATGCCAAAGAGCTATATCTAACTGCAGACAGTACTGTTTCGGCCTTCTGGGCCTCATCAGTGCAGTGCTAATGCTAGGATGGGGGAGAACCGAGACGGTCACCCCAAACGACCCAACCTTTGTGGTATCGTCTAAGCCATGCCAGAGTGCTCAAACTAGAGTAAACCAGCGAGCATGCGCAATTGCAACGGCAATGACTCATCCTAGATAGAGTGCTCAATTTGGACATGAAAGCAAAGCTTTGTATGCCAAAGAGCTATATCTAACTGCAGACAGTACTGTTTCGGCCTTCTGGGCCTCATCAGTGCAGTGCTAATGCTAGGATGGGGGAGAACCGAGACGGTCACCCCAAACGACCCAACCTTTGTGGTATCGTCTAAGCCATGCCAGAGTGCTCAAACTAGAGTAAACCAGCGAGCATGCGCAATTGCAACGGCAATGACTCATCCTAGATAGAGTGCTCAATTTGGACATGAAAGCAAAGCTTTGTATGCCAAAGAGCTATATCTAACTGCAGACAGTACTGTTTCGGCCTTCTGGGCCTCATCAGTGCAGTGCTAATGCTAGGATGGGGGAGAACCGAGACGGTCACCCCAAACGACCCAACCTTTGTGGTATCGTCTAAGCCATATATATATATATATATATTTATATTTTTTTTATTAAAATGTTTGTAGAGCAAATTGTATCAAACCTGTCTTAAACTAGTCTTTCAAGTTCACTAATCATCTCGTCCATACTGGGTCTCGCATCAGGATCTCGTTGCAGACATCGGCGAACGAGAGTTCAAAACACGCGGTCAGTCACCATGGCAACTTGTTCCTCGCGCCTATCTCGATCAGGCAGTATCCCAGTGCACATCTCGCAGAGTAGAACGCCAAAGCTGTACACATCAACCTTAACATAAATAGGGTAAATCAAAATGATCACACTTCCTCAGGGATTCCATCAGAAAGAAAAGCTGTCGAACGATTTTTCGAAACTCTCCTCAAATGTTCCCTACTAATCTCTGTTTCGAGCACTACAATGAAAAAAGTGAGATAGGTCACCGTGCTTGCTACAGAGCAATGACACGCAATGCAATTCTGAGGAATCACCTAAAAAGTTCATTTTATTTGCCACCGAAGTCTATGTCCAATG